CCACAGTTGGAGATCATGTATACATAGCGACTTGCACATAGCAACACATCTCTAGAAAAACAGACTTCTATGTGTCTCTCTATTGAGAGGTGGCATATGAGACATACTTGACCTAGGCATGAACTTGCTCTTCCTTGGAAGGTGCTGGAGGATCAAGTGCCTTCCAAGGAAGGTGTGCACTGTGGACACTGACTGTCAAGGCTGCATTGTGATTTCATTACAAGGCATGGAGCACATGCTGTGATGATTCCTGTTGTTTGGTAGAAGCATGCAGCATGTTACCTGCAGTTGTCAAAATGCCATTAGTTGCAGATTTGGTGGCTCACATGGCAGGAAGAGGACATGCCTACTAAGACTTGTGTGTTGACATCAGGAATTGGCTTCCAGTTCCTCATCCTCCTCTGCTAAGCTCGTTTCCTGTCATTTGCAGCTCTGGGCCCCTCTCCCACGCTGTGAGCCAGCGTGCCAGGTACACAGCTGTTAGCCTGCTCTCAGCCTCCTGCAGCTGGCTGCTCCGGCACCAGGGTCCCAGAGCAGGGAGGATGCTGCAGGCCTCTGGTGCTGTATGTGCCGTGTTTTTCCAGACACATGTTGCTATGTGTAAAGTTTGTCTCAAACTGTGGGCAAATCCTGGAATTTTTCATCTGGAAAGGGGCAGAGAAGAGGGCAAAGGGATTGAATGAGGTCACTGAATAGGGCAGTTGTACACACAGCAGAACCCTGCTGAAAGCGTATTTTCCAGGTACAGGTGAGTGCCACCCTGTGTTAGGCGGTGTGCCTTTATTGTCCTTCCTGTCACCCAGCATGTGGGCGCCCTTGTGCACAGGGGGAAGAAACCTTAGAGGTTTGTGGTATTTGGCAACAGGGTTTGTGGTAAAACAGGAGCCAGTGGGACTCCAGTTTACCTCAAGCCCGATAGACATAGGTGTTTATATCATTTAAATCCCTTGAAATTGTAATTGACCAAGCACAGTATGGGTAACAAAACAGAGAGCAAAGTAGTTTTCCTGGGAGGAGTTTTTGCGTGTTTTCCATTAGCAGTCATACAGGGGCCAGAGCAGAGGAAACGGCATGAGAGCAGCCTTTCGCCATGACCTCACTAAGAGATTTCCCAGCTCTGAGCTCAGCTCTGTGGCATGGCTGAACAAGTGGAATAAAACACAGCCAGACCCAGGCTACTGGTTGCTTTACTAGTGTCTTATTTTTGTTTTATAGCAAACTGTCTTCTTGGGGGCTAAAAGCCCCAGATGGAAACACAGGCACATATTTATGGTCTGTGGGCAGAGACAACAGCCTCAAGACTTGTTGTAGCTGCTGTACAGATACTGTATACGTGGCCAGTGAGTCCTGTACACTCCCGATGCATCCAGCTTGTGGTGCGTTTGTGTCAGGGTTAATGGATGGTGGAGATGCTGGGCTCTATCTGCAGAGTCAGCTGGCACGTGTGTATGTCTGTTTGTTCAGGCATTTCCAGCATCTGGAGGTTCTACACCAGTCTCTGGCTTTTGGTTTTTTTTCTTTCTCTCTGCCTCGGCAAAGCTTCTGAACAGGGAGAAGACAGGCAGGGGAGAAACTCCCACAAAGTGAAGAACAGAGCTGGAAAGCTTGGTTGCACTTATGTGACCCTTCTTTATGGAAGTCCTGTTTCCTGCTCAAACTCAGCGTAGTGTCTGGCTGAGAGAGGTGTTTGAATGGGGCATCCTAGTCTGCAGTCTCTTCTTCCGCGAAGGCTGGGGTTTCCTGAGGCGAAGCCTTTGACAAGAGCAGTTCAAGGCATTCCCCACTCCTCCCCTGATTGCGCTGGCAAAGCAGAGGCAGCCCTGTGTTGCGGTGTGGGAGAGGAAATGACTTGAAGGGGAGGGTGAGGGCCCTTTAAACCAGTGTTGCCACCAGAGACTTCACCTCGCAAAACCAGTGTTCCTCATGGGTGTCTGTGCTGTGGTGGGTGACAGCAGCCAGCTAACGAGTGCTGAAAGGGATCGAGGTACAGGGGCCTTTGCTCCCCCTGGCTGCTTGGGCAGGCAGCGCCTTGCCCCGGTTAACGTGGCTGTGGGATTGTGAGCAATCGCTTGGGCTGTGGGATCACAGACTAGGACTAACTGAAAACCACAAGGGCATCTGTTAACTCTTAAAAACAAAGACTTGTAGAGTTAAGATAAATAAGGGCCTTACAAACTTTGTGGCTATTGCAAAAGAAATTACAGGGTTTGATATATATATAGCCATTCAAGCAGTTTCTGTGTATTTGGACTGTAGATGTACGAAAGAGAAGGTTTTAGCTCAGCCAAACTGAATTCCCTGTACAGGGAATTCATGTAAGGTCAGCAGCTTTAGATCCCAAAGCTGTGCATCTGTAATCATTAAGCACATATATAGGAAGTTGCTCATGCAGATTTATCGCCTACTGTCCATCCTACGCTGTCTGCCTTTTGGTTTTGGTATTGCTAAAAGCTGCAGTAAGAAGCAGTGTCAGATGTTACAAGTCATCTGTGCCAGTTTCCAAGTCAAAGTGAGGGTTTGCATGGCTGGTGCCGTTCCAAGAGCTGGAAGGAGGAATACACCAGGGCTGGAAATTCTTGGTGAATGCAAGAAGCTGTAAGACCTCCCACTGGGTGATCTGCAACAGTGTGACAGGCTGAGGGCCTTGTTGGACTTTTCTTGCTGCAGCATAAAAAGGCAGTGTGGAGCTGCTTTCCCTGATTACTAATGAGAGAAAATCCTAACTGCTTGGCTGGTTTTCCTCAGGGGATGAATATTGTT